AGAGGGTGTTGAGAAAAGGGAACCCTCTTGTGCTGTTGGTGGGAATGTAAATTGATACAGCTACAATGGAGAACAGTATGGAGGTTCCTTAAAAAACTAAAAATAGAATTACCATATGACCCAGCAATCCCACTACTGGGCATATACCCTGAGAAAACCATAATTCAAAAAGACACATGTACCCCAATGTTCATTGCAGCACTATTTACAATAGCCAGGTCACGGAAGCAACCTAAATAAATGCCCATCGACAGATGAATGGATCAAGAAGATGTGGTACATATATAAAATGGAATATTACTCAGCCATAAAAAAGAATGAAATTGGGTCACTTGTAGAGACATGGAGGGATCTAGAGACTGTCATACAGAGTGAAGTAAGTCAGAAAGAGAAAAACAAATATCATATATTGATGCATATATGTGGAACCTAGAAAAATGGTACAGATGAACCAGTTTGCAAGGCAGAAATTGAGACACAGATGCAGAGAACAAATGTATGGACACCAAGGGGGCAAAGTGGCGGGTGTGTGTGTGTGTGATGAATTGGGAGATTGGGACTGACATGTATACATTGATGACTAATAAGAACCTGCTGTATAAAAACCTGCTGTATAAGAACCTGCTATATAAGAACCTGCTGTATTCAAAATAAAAATACATAGTGACTCTATCTCCAGTATTGCTTTTGGCCTCAAGGTCTTTTTTGTCCAGTATCAATACAGGTCTGCCAGTTTTTTTCTAGCTATTATGGTGTGTGTTTTCTAAACCTTTTACTTTCGAACTATCTGTACCTTTATGCTTTAGGAATGTGTCTTTCAAAAGTACACACCTGAATTCTAAAACCAGTGTGACAATCCATATTAGCTGAAACATTGGTTCATTTGTAATTATTTCTACCTTCTTTTGTGCCTTTACTTGCCCCACCTTTTCTAAAATTTTCTCTACCTCTCTTGCTATGTTTGGATTATTTTTTTCGGTTAATTTTTCTCTCTACTAGTTTGAAAGGTTTACCTTCTGTTTCTATTTTTATGATAGAAGCATTAAGTTACATTAGTTAACTTAGTGTAATTAACTAACACAAACTCCAAACACTCCATTCCAATCTGTAAGCTTTGTTATCCAGTACTTTAGTTCCATCTTTTTTGGGGGAAGGAGGGGCTGGTGATTCACTTTATTTTTTTAAAACTTTTTATTTTGAACTAATTTCAGACTAACAGAAAAGTTGCAAGAAGAGTACTAAGAATTCCCTTCACCCAGATTCCCTAAATATTAATATTTTACCGAGTTTGCTTGCATCATTCCCTTTCTTTCTCACTCTTTCACCTACATATACATACATGTTATTTTTTCAGAACCTTTTGAGAGCATGTTACAAACATGATGCCCTTTTGGTTCTAAATATTTCACTGTTCATTTCCTAAAATACAAAGAATTATCTTATATAACTATAGTATAGTGAGTAAAATCAGGAAATTAGCAATGACACAACCCTAGTACCTAGCCTGCAGATCTAATTCAAATTTTGCTGATTGACCTAATAATGTCCTCTGAGGGCGGGCTGGGGGGGGGCCACATTTGTATGGTCCAGGATCCAACCTAGGTTTATACATTGAATTTAGTCATCTTGTTTCATTAATCACCTTTAATTTGAATAGCTCTTCACTCTTTTTTTTGTCTTTTGAGAACTTGACATTTTAGAAGAATAGTATGTCTCTCAGTTTGGGTCTGTATGATGTTGCCTCAGATTCGGGCCATGTCTTTTTGGCAGGGATGCTAGAGAAGTGATGTGGCATCCTCCTCAGGGTGCTGCATCAGAACTCATGTGATGCTGACTGGTTGCTTGGTTAAGGGAGTATCTGCCAGGTTTCTCCACTACCTTTCCCTCTGTAATGAATAAGTATTTTGTGGCCCAATACACTAGTCATTATTATTATTCTTTTAATTAATCAAATTTTATCTACATTTGCCCATACGTTACTAGTTTATTTAAAAAAAATTCATTTATTTATGGCTGCGTTGGGTCTTCACTGCTATGTGTGGGCCCAGTTGTGGCAAGCCGAGGCCACTCCCTGCCACAGTGCGTGGGCCTCTCATTGTGGTGGCCTCTCCCGTTGCGAAGCATGGGCTCTAGGTACACGGGCTTCAGTAGTTGTGGCTCATGGGCCTAGATGCTCCGCAGCATGTGGGATCTTCCCGGACCAGGGCTCAAACCTGTGTCCCCTACATTGGCAGGCAGATTCCCAACCACTGGGCCACCAGGGAAGCCCTTTACTAGTTTATTGATTCATCAATTCTTCTGGAATTTTAGATCTTGTATCTGGGATCCCTTTCCTTCTGCCTAAACTATGTCTTTTAATATTTCCTTTAGTGAGGGCCTATTGGTGACAAATTCTCACAAGTTTCTATTTGTCTGAAAACACCTCTGTTTCTTTCCTCATTGTAGAAAGATATGTTTACTGGATATACAGTTCTAAGTTAGTAGTTACTTACTCTAGAACACTGAGGATAGTCCCCTGTTTTCTGGCTCCTATTATTGCAGTTGGGAAGTGAGCTATCAGTTTAATTGCTACTTCAAGAGTAGTATGTCTTATTTCTCTCCTGTTTTAAGATTTTTCTCTTCGCCTGTGGTAGCATTACGGTGTGCCTAGGTGTGGATTTCTTTTTATTTATCCTAACTGGGATTTTTTGGCCTTTCCAAATCTGTGGTGTAGTGTCATTTTCACAAGTTCTGAAATTTGTTAGTAATTACCTCTTCAAACATTATGTCTGCCTCATTCTCTTCTTTCTCTCCCTTAGGAATTCTCATTATATTAAAATTAGATTTTATTACTCCATCCTTCGTCTCTTTTAACTATTGTTAAGGGCTCCAGCTTGGGGCCCATGTTGCATTTTGCACCATTTCTTCACTTCTGTCTTCCAGCTCATCACTTCTCTACTCAGTTGTGTCAAATATGCTGTTAATTTCTTTCAGCATTATTAGTAGGTTTGACTCTGCTCTCTTTTGTTTCACCTAGATCTATTTTGTTTTATCATGGGATTTGAGATTTTTGACTGTGAGCCAATATTTCTTGTAACTTTTCTTCTGGGACTCTGTTGAGTCCTGGATTGAAGGTGGATTTGCATTTGCTTCTGTCAGGCATCCAGGGCACTACCAATCCAGGACCAATTTAAACTAAGTTTTGTGTATGTAGCTTTTGAGGACCATCCAGGAACTATGAAATCAGACTGGGAAGTATGTGTGAGGGTCAGTTTATTGTTATAAATTTTTAGGGAACTATGTTTTCCCCCTCCACTTAGCTTTGAGACTTGCTTTTTCTTTGTACTCTTGGAGAGTGTGGTAAGAAAGTTCCTCATTTAGGGTCTCAGCTTTAGCCAGAAGTTTTCCTTCCTGTTCCCCTGTTTATACGAGTCCTAGGCTTTGTTTTTTTGTCTTCTGCACCCCATTTGGCTATGAAAACCAAAGCTCAACGTCACTGGGTTCACCAAACACCCTCCAAGTGAGTCTTAGTTTCAGAGTTCTGCTTCATTCTCTGAGTCCCTGTTTTCACTCAGTTTATGGCCTCTGAGAAGTTCTTATGTATTTATTAAAAATATTTTAAAATATAATTTATCCAGCATGAAGCTCAATCAGAGCAACCAGTCCAAAACTGCTAGAAAAGAAAGTCTCTTTCATTTTACAGATGAGCAAACTGAGGTTCAGAAAAGCTAAGCAACTCACCCCAAAACATAGAGAGTAAATAGTAAAGTTGGGATTGACCCCAGGCAGAGACACTGAAACATGTATTTCAAAACTAAAGTCTAGGGCTCCCCTGGTGGTGCAGTGGTTGAGAGTCCGCCTGCCGATGCAGGGGACACGGTATCGTGCCCCGGTCCGGGAAGATCCCACATGCCGCGGAGCGGCTCGGCCGGTGAGCCTTGGCCGCTGAGCCTGCGCGTCCGGAGCCTGTGCTCCGCAACAGGAGAGGCCACAACAGTGAGAGGCCCGCGTACCGCAAAAAAAACCAAAAAAACTAAAGTCTAATTTACCCAAATTTAAGTCACATGAATTAATCTACATGTAGATTTGCAAATATAAACTTGGGTGTCCTAAGCGTGAAACATAAATCTCAAAATTGTTTCCTATTAAACCAAAAACTAAAGTCTAATTTACCCAAATTTAAGTCACATGAATTAATCTACATGTAGATTTGCAAATATAAACTTGGGTGTCCTAAGCGTGAAACATAAATCTCAAAATTGTTTCCTATTATACCCCTTGAGGAAGCAGGATGGAAAAAGAATTATATTAAAACTGCCTCCATTTTAATAAAGTTAAAAATACCTAATAAATATATACTGTATATGTACGTCTGTGTATGTGTGTGATCTTTGATGGTGGTGATCAGAAAATACCGCAAATCACAAATGCCCAATGAGAACAATCTGAGACTGTCAGGTTTTGTTACAGTTTAAACAAATGAACTGAATTTTAATTCTCAGTGTGTAGTTATCACTAGGTGCGGAAGAATATGTAAATCGTAGTGAAGACGCCCTATCTCCCCAGCCATCTAATTCTTCTTCTCAGGAGTAACCACTTTTAACAGTTTCTTCAGTAACTTTTAAACCTTATTACATTTCCACAGCTGAGGAGACAAATGAACTTACCAATTCTGCTATGTGAGCCATGGGCCAAACGAGCCCTTCTCTCTAGTCTCACCAATCCAACTTTCACATCTCATATTTTCCACTGCTGTTTATACGGCTCAGACATATATCCAAGTTCTCTCCTCCCCTCCCTCCGCCCCCCCCACCCCAATCACTGTGCACCAGGGATCTGAATCCACATTTCTTTGTTTACAATTCAAGATTCTACTCTGCATAGTGTATCCGTCTAAAAATTACCTCTCTGATAGTTACTGTTAGTTAATAGAGAGACTTCAAACACATTGCTTCCATAAAGAATCAACAAAACTAAAACATAAATCAACTGTCATCACACGAAGCTTGCTCTGAACTTACAGGGATTGTGCAGCTGTCTGAATCTCGAGACGTAAATCCAACATTGCCTAAGTGAAGGATGCCAGCAAGTATTCGGAAAATTCCCATCTGATAAGATTCACTAATTCCTGAAACAGCAGAGTAAATGAACAAGTGATCAATTTCAGAACAGGAACTAAACAATTATAGCAGACAATTTTAAGCCCATCTTTAACTCTTGAATAATGCCAGATGTTGTTCACATTATAATGTGTCATAGTTAACAACACTTTCATCTTTGTTGACATTAACACATAATGAGCTTTAGCATTATGGTTGAGAGCATGGGCTGTGGAATGAGACAGACCTCAGCTTGAGGCCTGGTTCTGCTCCTGACCTGCCATCTCACATTGGCAGGTAACTTCACACTTCTATCCTTCTGTTTTCTCATTTGAGATACAGGGACAATAGGGACTATCTCAAAGGGAGTTTGTAAACATTAAATAAGAAAATGCACACAGTAAACTTAACACACTATGTGACACATGGTAGGTGCTAAACAAACTATCACCATCATTGTCACACACTGAATTTAAGTATCTCATTAACATTATTACCTTTTCTATTTATCGCTACTCCAAATGCAAGCTGTAGCCCAATAAGTCTGTTTTAAGTCAGATTATTTAATTACTTCTAACTACAGACCAAATATAAGTCAGAGACCCCAAGATGAGAAGTGCTCAGGCTGGTGTTGCACCCCGGCCTGATGATCGAGTATCTAAATGCTGCATTAGAGCAGGACCTGAAGGATCAGGCAGGATGAGAAAGCTGGACAGCCCTTGGTATTTTACCAGCTCGGGCTTCATTTTTCAATAAGGTAAGATTTTTCCAGAATATTACATATAAATTATATTTGAGTAAAAATAGTAAAATGATTTCCAAATATGTAACTATATACAGAGTAACTGACAGTTCATCTTACAAGTAATGTTTCTGCCATCTCCTGCAGTATGGCTTTTTCAAATTTGCAACTTTCTATTTACAAACAGAGTTAGCCCCGGAAGTAAAGCAGTGTTTCTCAAACTATAATATGCATATGAATCACCAATGGATCTGGTTAAAATGCAGATTCTGGTTTAGTAGGTCTGAGACGGGGTCTGAGATTCTAAATTTTTGCAAGCTCCATACTGGTCCTGGACCATACTCTGATTAGCAATGCTTTTAAATTAAATTAACTCACCTCAGGTTACTCCTCAAAGTACCAATACATGACTTTAGAATTATTCATATTCTGAAGCTTTTAAATAAATAATTCAACACTAAAAGTTATATAAGTACATTTCTAAAGGTCAATTTATTTATATGTAGATCCAATATTATTTTTAATCCAGAAACAAGACAGTAACATGAGCTATTTCAGAAACAGAATAAACTACATGTAATACAGTGTTAAGTCACCAAGCCAGCTCAACCACATTTCCAGCCCACAAAAGACACCCAAAACGAAAAAACAAACACAAAAAAGTCCTATAAAACATGAGTTTTTGTAGAGAAACCCATTTCATTTGGCTGTAGCTTTCAGATTTTGTAAAAATTTAAGTAAACAGTCCCACATCCCCTGATGCCCTCAATGTATTATTTTTTTTAATAAACTTATTTATTTTATTTCTGGCTGCATTGGGTCTTTGTTGCTGCGCATGGGCTTTCTCTAATTGTGGCGAACGGGGGCTACTCTTCGTTGCAGTGTGCGGGCTTCTCATTGTGGTGGCTTCTCTTGTTGCGGAGCACAGGCTCTAGGCGTGTGGGCTTCAGTAGTTGCAGCATGCGGGCTCAGTAGTTGTGGCGCACGGGCTTAGCTGCTCTGCGGCATGTGGGATCTTCCCAGCCCAGGGCTCAAACCTGTGTCCCCAGCATTGGCAGGCGGATTCTTAACACTGTGCCACCAGGGAAGCCCCTGAATGTATGTTTTAAATAGCTTTACTGAGGAATAATTTGCATACCATAAAATTTATCCATTTTAAATATGCAATTCAATGGTTTTTAGTAAATTTACAGTTGTGCAACCATCACCATAACCTAATTTCAGTACAGTCCCCATCACCTCCAAGAGAAACACTGTACTCATTTGCTGTCCAACTGTGTTTTATAAAGAATCTAAAAATAAATTAAAAACAAAACACCAAAAATGAATGTTAAATCTCTCGACAATTCTCACTACTTAATATGAAGCTAAGCCAATATTCCAATCAAAGGTTGCTCGAGTCAAAAAGCTATTGCTTCTAAAAATTCAAGAATAAGATTACATACCTAGCAAAGTGCAGGCCTGCCTGGTTTGTGCCATCTCCTTGGCATCATCTACTCCTTCAATCACAGGACTGCCACCTTGCTTCGTGTAATGAAAGTTATTTGCGTCTCCTGCAATTAAGGAAAAATTTTTAAAAGATTTGCAGTCTATGAAAAGGCCTTGACTTCTACCCTTATGTCCACTCTGAAATAGAGGCAGTGACAGCACAATTAAGTGTATAGAGTCTGAAATTTGATTTCCTGTGTTTTTAGTTATATCTTAATACAAGACTCAAAATTAAATAATGGAGTGAAATGTTTGTAGAATTTGTGAAATGAATAGTCCTTTCCTAAAGGTTTTATTCCAGTCCACAGGCTAGGATAATTTTCAAACACTTTACTCCCTTCTTCATAGAGTTCCAACTATGGAACCTCATAGATTTCCACCACGTAAACTCCTTTACATTTTTTTTCCTTTTAATCAAGGCAAATTTCAAACATATACAAAAGTACAGAAACTAGTATAATGAGCCCTTGTGTACTCATCACTCATCTTAAACAAGTTTCAACTCAAGGCCAATCTTGTTCCATTTATACAGCCACTTACCACTTCCTCATCCCATGAGTTATCTTGAAGCCAACTGTAGGCCTCTTATCATTTCATCCATAAATATTTCAGTATGAGATAATCTCCTTTTTAAGAAGTAAATTTGTGAACTCAGAAATTAACATAAGACAATACCAGCACAATAAATCTAGTGCCATATTCATACCTAATCGCAGCATTTTAAATTCAGGTAACTTTGCTGAGGCACAAAGCTGATAGAAGATATGATAGTTTCTCTCCTCTTCTGCCTTTGAAAAAAGAATAGTTTTCAATTACAGCATTTTAATCTAAAACCCAGAAAATTCAATCATAAAAAAAAAATTTAATTATCTCATTTGATGAAATAAACTGTCCTCTCCCAAATTTCCTAATACATATCTATGATTATTAAACCTTGTGATTTATTAGCTATGTGCATCTGTGTGAGTGTGTATCTGTTGGCCACATTCAAAATAATATACCTGATAGTAATGCTTTTTGAACTAGTAAACAGCTTGCTCTATGGCACTGTCATAAGAGATCAGTGCCTCTGGGGGAAGCTAAAACCTTTTTATTTTTTTCCCTGCAACACTCAATATTTTCTCAGTGTTTTCTTAGATTCATGGTCTTCCTAAGACTTTTGACTAGAAAAAAAAAAATCCCATTTTTGCCATATCTACTGTAGCTGTTTGTAAGAAATCCACAAATGTACTACATCATCCATATCATTTTAGTTTATATATTTAAAAATCAATAAAAAAATTTTTAAATAGAAAATAAATCATGTACAATGCTAAGATCATTTCTTACTATTTTCTGACAGTCTTTTCCCACATATATACTTTAAAAATACAGTTGTAATCATCTTGTTTATACAATATTATTATACTCTATTGTCATATCCTTGAATTCTGCAGTGTATTCAGTTAACTGAAGTAAGGCCAAGGTCAGGTTTGATGCCCAACAGGGGCTGGTGTCTGGTAAAAAAAACTTAGTTTTCTGTGTTTAGTGCACAGAACACAATAAACAAATTAACAATATACCAATGACCACAAGCATGAATAGGCAAGAGGTCAGGGGTTTCGGTACACAGACAACTAGAAAAGCAGGGGGATGTGCAGAAATGCTTTGGTCATCTTTGTACACGAAGCACAACATCAAGTATGCTCTTTCTGACTGCTTGACTCACTTTGATATAACCAAACTTCCACAATGTTATATAGCCCTGTGGGTTGGGGAACAGTTAGAATTGCTTCAATGTTTCTAGTCAAGACAATAAGGATTAGGCCTTAACATTCTGTCTTAAGCACTACGAGCCTCTGGTCACCATACCCATTTTCCCTTTAATCGTCTACCTATCAATCAAATCTGTACTATTTAGACTCAATCTTCTCTTAGATCTACATATATTTCCCCCATTGTTTCCTCTGGCTCCTAAACATTTTTTTTTGGACCTATTCAAGTATACATGTGTGCGCAGTAACACTGCTCTGCATGTATCTAGATATTAGAACAATGGAGGAGGGTGACTACTCCTTCGCTATACAAATCAGGTATTACGTTTAGGTAGCCACAAATCAGGCACACCCCCAAAGTCAAAGCCAGGATAGCTCTAGGCTGCCCAAACTCATGGCTCTCAGTATGTCCCAGACAGTTTTAAAGCCTTAAGACACTTGTGCAATGGAAATTGTAGACTCTGCTACATGGCGGTGCCAGGGCTATTTGAACCTCAATATGGCGAGCATCTAGTTAAGGGACTACAGGAACCCCATCTCAGCATGCAGTGAGTCACCAGGAGTCCTATATGGGGAGTTTTCCAATGATAAGTCCACATTCCCTGAGTGATACCTACAAACGTGAATGCACACCTGCCGGTGCTGTAAGGTGTAGTACTTCCCATTTACAAATAAAAAAGGAGTAAGTTCCCTGTGAGGATTCTGGGCTTTCACTGCTGTGGCCTGGGTTTAGTCCTCGTTGGGGAAATGAGATCCCCGCCCCCCGAAAAGGAGTAAGAGCATATGTGCAAATGCAAGTCTGGCACTGATCCATACACTTGAGTGTGTTCTTTGACAGTAGTTCACAATTGAGTTGTGAAGATCTTTTAACCCTCATTATTCTATCTAAACAGTATCACATTCTGCGAGAAGAAGGAAGGAAGAAGGACAAGGATAATTTTTTTTTTCTCGAACTGAGTTTAAACTGTAACTCACTGAAGCATAGACCAATGTCATCCCTATCAACTGGGAAATGTGACAGACGAGACTAAACTAATAGCGCCTCTTCTTAACTAAGCTTTTCCTACAAGCATTTGGAGGAAACAGTCAAAACCATTAAACCTAAATCAGTGCCCAGTCCCACAGACTATTAGTCTAAGGGGTATCCTCTGATAGGCACTGTTTTACATGGTTCAGTCCAAGTGTGGTTTGTAGTAACATTGTAGTAATACTGTCATAACATGCTCAAGAACATCTGGGAATAAAATGCACACCAACAAACATGAGCTCTGGAATGATATGGCAATCTATATGTATACCGGCCCGGCTTACCTGGAACACCACTCTGGATTTCTCTAAAAGGTAAGTTCTCATATTGGCACCAATGATTCGATATCTCTTATCAAAACCAATCTCAATGTACTTCCCAAAACGGCTGCTATTATCATTCCTGGTTGTCTTAGCATTTCCGATTGACTAAGAAACAAAGGGAAAACAATAAGGTTTTAGAAGTGCAATTCATGCCCTGACATTTACAGGTTTGTTCAGGGAGAGAAAGAACACAACCCTTTAAAACTGATTCTTTTAAAAACAGAACCAGTTTTGCCCCTGCAGGCACAACTGTATGCTTTGCTCACTGCACAACCACACAGGTATACACTAATAGTCCATGTCGGCCTTGTTATTCTCGCACAAATTATTTTCAGAAAGAGCAGACTCGAGCCCAGTGCCTGGGAGGTCTTCATCCACCATTTGTGGTATGGAACATACTCATTCATGTCAACAAAGGAAAAGAACGGATGGGACCAGGGGCTGCCTAGGCACATGCCCTCTTAGTTAAATAACAGGGTTTGGTTTCTTGAAAAACTTAGTCTGTTTTATGTAAATAAGCTGGTTAAGATAAATTAATATTTTCCTGGAAATATTGCTTTGGTGTTCAGGGTCTCTTTAGCCAGTAGGCCCAGGTGGACTGCTTATTAGTGGAGTGTTAGTAATTACCCACTTAATTCAAAGCCATTTTCAGAAACCAGAGACAGTAAAATTTGGCTTTGGATTTTGATAGTTGTATCTAACTTGCAAGACATCTGCTAAAGAATGCAGAGAATGTAACTTTCTGCTAAATTTTTCATATAATCCTAAAATTTTAAATTGAATATGCACTGCTTTCTGATTTAGGTAACATGCACCTATAAATTTTTCTTTCAAACCAAAGCAAAAAACATGCTGTAGTTAGAAAAGCAAGTGTTAACATACTGTATAAATTAAATGCTTAATAAGATAATTTTATACAATTAATATCTTTCACTGCACAAAGCCTGTGACTATTAGGATTAGTATATTGAAACCACAGCAGAGTATACTGAAACCACAGCAGAGATATGAAAATGCTCTGGAGCATTAAGAAAGCAATACAAAAAAAAAAGCAATACAAACACAAGTGATGAAAACAGTAGTAACATAGCCATAAAAGTCAAAACATTAGATTCTCTGATCAATCAAAGAAAACGTATTTTCACTCTCTGAAATAGAAGACATGTATTACCCTATTCTGTTTTGGCAATGAGAACACTGCTAACTTTCAGATTAACATTATAGATTGAAAGAATAGTTGGAAGCTATCTTCCCAGCAAAACTTGATATTACAAAAAGCACAACAAAAAGTCTCCATATATTCCCATTATTTTTATTTTGTTTAGAAAATAAACGTGAAATTTTCTTTCAGCACAACATATTCTGTCAAAGAGCAGATGAAGGGTTACATGTAGTAGCAGTGGCAGCAGCAGTAATAATTACTGAGTGTTTACCAGGCACTGTCCTAAGCACGTTCCCGCAGCAACTAAGCAAGTTAGGGGAGGGTGGTCCACAGCTTCTCCTCCCTCTCAGACTCTTATCCCAACCTCCATATGTCATCCCCCCACCCCAATCTACTTACAGTGGGGATCAGAGTGGCCAACCTGTCAAGATAATACTATACTTTGTGAGAAGAAGAAGTGAGTAGGCCAGAGTTGAAACAGACCCTTTTGTCTTTGAGTACAAGGTATACAAACATACAGCAAAGAATGGTAGAAGGAGTAAATGAAATAGAAGTCTGAAGATCTGGGTATCACACCAGGGCCTACCACTAACTTGCCATCATTTAATCCTCTGAGGAGCATTAGTGTCCCCAGGTGTAAACTGACTGGAATAGATGAGCTCTAGGGTCCCTTTCAAAAATAAAACTCTATGATTCTAAGCCTTTAACCCAATATGGAAAGAAGGTTCTGTATGAAAACGATGTTTATTCATTTATTTTGTTCATTCCCCCTAATTGCTCCCTCTGCCTTATAAGTACTGTATTTATAACAGCCTCCCTAATGCTATTTTCATTTCAATCAGCAAGAAATTGTTAAAGGAAAGAAGTTTCCTGGTCTTGACTTTACTACTGATTTCAGCGAAATGTTGAGTGAATTTTTCTTCTTTACTAAATGGAGATGAAAATCTTCAACTACAGTTATTGAAGAGGAAATAGAACTATTAAGACCCAGTGTGGGGCCTTCCCTGGTGGTGCAGAGGTTAAGAATCCGCCTGCCAATGCAGGGGACATGAGTTTGATCCCTGGTCCGGGAAGATCCCACATGCTGCGGAGCAGCTAAGCCTGTGGCCACAACTACTGAGCCCACGAGCCACAACCACTGAAGCCTGTGCGCCTAGAGCCCCTGCTCTGCAACAGAGAAGCCAACGCAATGAGAAGCCCGAGCACTGCAACGAAGAGTAGCCCACGCTCGCCGCAACTAGAGAAAGCCCGCGCACAGCAACAAAGACCCAACGCAGCCAAAAATAAATTAATTAAAATTAAAAAAAAAAAAGACCCAGTGTGCCCCCAACATCTTCCCTGTCCCCATCTTAGGATGAAACTTTCTAGGAAAAAAGGATGAAAAAGAAACTGTCATAAAATTGAGTAAAAGAGAATCATTTATTTCACTGTACATTATTCGTATTTTGCAAAAGGAGCCTATGACGAGGACGAGGAGCTTGCTTTCTAAAGGATAATGTGCAAATCCCATAAGCCACTGGACTGTGATGTTCAAGGTGTGGGATGCTCGTGATCACTGGAGACCCAGACATTCCTTTCTTGACATCACAGTAAAGGGCTCTGATATAGAGACATAATCTTTTTTTTTTTATATCTTTATTGGAGTATAATTGCTTTACAATGGTGTGTTAGTTTCTGCTTTATAACAAAGTGAATCAGTTATACATATACATATGTTCCCATATCTCTTCCCTCTTGCGTCTCCCTCCTTCCCACCCTCCCGATCCCACCCCTCTAGGTGGTCACAAAGCACCAAGCTGATCTCCCTGTGCTATGCGGCTGCTTCCCACTAGCTATCTACCTTACGTTTGGTAGTGTATACATGTCCATGCCTCTAGAGACATAATCTTGAGGCAGGTTTAAAAGCTACAAATTTTCTAGGCCACATATTCAATATTTTACCTGTATTTTCTTCCTATAACTGGAAACCCTTTGTCACCATTCTTCAGCCCTACATTCCATTTGAATCTTTCAAGTTGGGATGCCCTCATTTGTAGCTGTTGAAAATTAGTTCTCTCTTTAACAAATTTTCTAAATCCAAATTCCTGCAGAGAAACTAAATAATACAGCGTGAAGTAGCTAAGTATAACTACTGTCTTTAAAAAAAAATTTTTTCATAAATTTTTTTAAAAAGTATAACTGCTGTCTTTTTCTTTGTTCATCCTAGCAAACAGGGTAAATTCCTTGTAACTGCATATTAAAAAGTAGTATCTGTAGTCATTCCAAATTTTTAATATCACTCCTACTAACACAACTCAAATCTGCGTTGTAGAAAAAACAGTATAGCTAGTTTTTGAACGAGACTATAGCAAGGTCATAAAATAGTTCATTCAACTTGACGTATTCCAGAGTTATGTTATTATATGGTCTAGACCTAGGAGAAATGGGATTTCCTGATGTGTTCATAATCAAGACTCTGGGATGTCCTAACATTACAGACTAAGAATGGCCTAAACTACTGCCAAATACCAAGAATTTGTTGTTATGACCAAAAACAGTCAAAATAATGGTAGAAAGCAAAGCCCTGTTGTTTTCTGAACTGAAATCAGAAACTGGCTATACAGATGATATTTTTGCAATATTAACACAAGTGGGATCCACCACTATATCTGTAGCTTAAATTCTTTCAAAATCTTAATATCTGCTTAAAATCTTTACTACTCTCTTTTGGCATAAGCATCTGTTTTCTCCTGTCTGTGTTATTTCAGAAAACATTTCCAGTTCTCTTTCCATAGGTCACCCAGCCCAGGAGGCTCTTAACTTCCCCAGCATCTCTTATTTTCTTAATCCCAAGAACAGAAGTCATGCTGCACTAGAGGGCAGCCCTGTGGGCAAGGGGTCACAGCATACTATTCTGAAGTGTCACACACAGCACTGCACACCAGGCACAATTACCTCTGGACTGATCAGTGCGAAAACCACTTGCACCACGGGTGCACCAAACCAGTCCTAAACGCCATCTGTGTTTGGGTGACATGTAAGGCTTGACAAAGGAAAAAAACAGGAATAAAGAATGTTGACTTGGGTTTTTATTAAGAAAGGTTTGTTTCTGCATGTCCAAAGTAATTTCTCTCCATTTATTGAGACTTATTTTCTCCATTTAATGGGAATACTTACAAAAATGTAACTTTCCTAAAATCATATTAATACACAAATAATTCTCTAATTACCAATCCTAAAATACTCAAATTCTCACACAAAAAGGTCTGTTTTCTTTGGCATGAGCATGTCTACTTTGTATATGTAGTCCACTTTTGAAAGGATATCCTTTCATAGATCTTCCTTTTCCAAGAATTTATATTATTGAATTTCTTTTTCTAAACTAAAGCTGTGTGATATGCTTGACAGAAACAAGCAGAAAAATGCTTTCAAGACTATGATTTAAGTTTATAGTTCATATCTGGAAAAATGTAAAAACTTATAGCTAAACAGGTTGGACTAAGTACAGAAAATGAAATGCGGGCAAAGGAATAATGAAACTCATTCATGCTTGAGCACAGTGAATCCTGTATTTTAGAAAGAGCTTAAATAAGCTCAGGATTGTGGGAAAAGGAGTAATTTATACTTCCAGTATAAGGAGCAATAGATACAAGTCAATTAACTGGGAGAAAAGAAACTTTAGGAAATGAAGTGCCATTGCCAGCTACTTGGAGGCAACGATCCAATGGTAGGTTAAAAATGCAGGTTTATGGAATAAAGTAGATTCCTCTATAGCTAGACTTTACTCAAAATGTCTACCTTACTGAATTTTTACTTTTCCTAGATCTCTCACTAACATCCGGAAAAGTATTTTCCTACTATTACTGGTTGAGAGATCCTAGACTTTCTGATGTGCTGTATCAATCAATTTTTTGAGCCTGTTTCTTAATGAGAGAATATAGTAGGAAGGCCATGGCTGCCTCTGCCTTACCTCCATGATGGGGTTGGATGCCAACACCTTTTCCTCAACATTGGCTTCACTGGCGGAACCACTTACAGTTGCAAAGTATCGCATGGCATACTTAGCTGAAACTGTTTTTCCTGCCCCAGACTCTCCACTTACAATGATGGACTGATTTCGTTCATCTCTGTAAAACAAAGAAGAGTAACTGACAGCGCTGCTCACTTTTGAATGTGATTAACATGATTTTCTCTGTGTTCTCATCAATGAGCCATGGAGAGTTCCTGCTGGTTCACACATGCAAAAATGTGGGAAGGAACCTAAGAATGACATTTCCTAATAAAAACAACTCTTATAAATTAACAATGAACAGAGAGGGAGAAGAAATATCAGGCATTAAATTAGAGAGCATCACATCTAAGGATGAATCTGTAATAGTCTCTGAATTTTTGGTGTGTACATATCTGAAACACACTTTATTCCTAGAGAATTATTTTGGTCTATTATAGTACTGTTGTCAACCACCTTTAGAAGAGACAGGAGTTACAGCAAACAAATTTAGAAGAAAATACTACTTAATTGAAAAACAAATTATCTACTAGCTGACTGTCCGTAGTGTCTCCCACAAACTCCAGCTCTTACTAAAGTACCCTCATTACCAGAGAAGAAATGGTTCATTTGTTGGTTGATTCATTCAAACATGTTAGAACTCAAAGACTACCAACTGGACTTCCCTGGTGGTGCAGTGGTTAAGAATCCGCCTGCCAATGCAGGGGACACAGGTTCGAGCCCTGGTCCAGGAAGATCCCACATGCCGCGGAGCAACGAAGCCCGTGCACCACAACTACTCAGCCCACGAGCCACAACTACTGAAGCCCACGTGCCTAGAGCCCGTGCTCTGCAACAAGAGAAGCCACCGCAATGAGAAGCCCGCGCATCGAAGAGTAGCCCCGCTCGCTGCAACTAGAGAAAGCCTGCATGCAGCAATGAAGACCCAATGCAGCTAAACAAATTAATTTAAAAAACAAAGACTATCTACTATTACATCTTTAATTCATTCATACAATGACTCAAAACTCTAGGTGAAGAACTTGCTCATAAGACTATCATTTATTTGAGGATGAGGACCTATGTCACCATATCGTTAATATCCAGCAACTAGTCCAGAGTCTGACACATCACAAGTGCTCAGTAAATGTGTATTGATTATAAGTAAATAAAACTTTAATAACCAACCTAGCCTAGGAATAAATCTGCTTTGGCTACGATTTCGACTGGGAAAGAAGCAGGAAATTTCCACTTCCTGAGATGAAACCAGCAGTCAGCTTCAATCCATCAAATTAACTGAACAAGTACTTTTTTTTTTTTTGGTGGTATGCGGGCCCCTTTCACTGTTGTGGCCTCTCCCGTTGCACACGCTCCATTCGCACAGGCTCAGCGGCCATGGCTCACGGGCCCAGCCGCTCCGCGGCATGTGGGGTCCTCCCGGACCGGGGCACGAACCCGTGTTCCCTGCATCGGCAGGCAGACTCTCAACTACTGCGCCACCAGGGAAGCCCGGTAGTAACATTTTTGCCCTTAATTTATGGAGAGACAAGATGAGTTCAAAGGTTTTTAGGCCACAAGATTATGAGGTTATTTCACTATAGAAGACGATCTTATTATCTTTTAAAAGAAATTTATTTATCCAACAAACATTTAGCAAACACCTACTACGTGCCAAACATTGTGCTAAATACTAGGGATACAAGTTTAAAAAGCCATGATCTGCATCCTCAAGTGTTGAGGGTCTAAGAGTAAAGACAAACTAATAATTAAAGATTATAATACATGGGATGGGGTACTGAGAGAAGGAAGAGGTGATCAGGGAAGGCACCCTGGAGATGATACCTCAGCAGTCTAGAAAGATGAGTAAGAGAAAGCAAGCAAGGGAAAAGTAAGTTAGGAAGGAAACATTCCAGGGAAAGGAGATAACATAAATGAAGGCTCAGATGCATGAGAAATTAGGAAACATCAGATAATTTAATTTGACTAGAACATGAAGTAATGACCGACAAGGTTGCAGAGGTTAACGAGAAATGGATCATAAAGTTCTTAAATGAGATGTTAAGGAATCTGAAGTTTACCTAAAGGTCACAGAGTGTTACTGCAGGGTTTTAAACAGAAAATAAACAATCTAATTAGTAAAAACGCTCTGGCAGCAATGTGGATATGGGTGGCAGAGGTCCAGATGAAAAGATATGAAAGTCTGAACAAAGACTGTGGTGGCCATGACTGAGAGAGGCAGATGGGTTTAAGAGACACCAAAGTGACAGAATCAAAAGTACCTGCAATAAGTTTCCAAAGTAGAAAGATTTTTCTACGGTAAAGGTTGTTTTTTCGTTGAGAAAGTGTGATCACTGTATTATTTTACAAACTGAAAAATACAATAGGAGTACCCAACTCAGGCCTGATTAAGTACATTCACATCACACTACCAGCACCTGTAAGCAGCCTGTTCAGATACTCTGACTCCCATACTGTGGGGAAAATCAGGAGGACCTAGGTGACAAAAGGAATGTTTAATACTTATAGTAAAGGCTTGCATGTAACTCTCATTTTTATTAAACATCCTTGAACCTCATACTATCTCATTCCCTTTTTATTTGAACTTCTAGACTCAACTGGATATTCCCACTGCCTCTGTTCATACATGCCTGATTTCAAGATAAATCACTCAAAAAAAAAAAAACAAAAAAAAAACCCAAACAGTTCTCATTGTGGGGCCAATGTCCCTTTTTTTCATCATTTAGAATACTTTAATGTTCTCAGAATTGATGTCTTTGATACATTAATCAAGGACAGTATTGTCATTCTTTGGATTCCCTTCCAAAATATAACTAGAAAAATGATCTCTTCCTAATTCCTGCATGATCGGTTCTGTCACTACACCCTGTGTGATAGCTACCTTGACAAAATTCTCCCAGCATTTCTTCCAATAATAAACAAGGTGAAGAGGCTTCCACTAGTCTGACTAAAAGGAATTATTAGTGGGAACTGCTATCCTAAACTGTACTGCCTTTGAAATACTATTTCAAGTCTTTATGACAAAATGTTACGTCAAAAAAACTGAAGCATTCATTATGTAGTAGACCTTTCCTATACCATGGGGAAGAAGAGAACTGTTAAAGGAGATAAGGTTGAGGATTATTCAAATGAATCACACAGATTTGTACAAATACACACATATACACATTGATGTCAAGCACATACCAGATACATTTTCTCTTCCAGGATTTACGATCCTGGATCCATATGACCAACAATTTTTAAGGGACTTTATTATTTATTACATTTCCCTGACTTTGGCAGAGGCTTCCCTTCTTCTTGAAGCCTAGTAGAGCATTCCAATCTATAAATAAGTACGACTTTTCTATTACATAAATTTCTCTGAGTCGGGCTCTGGTCTTCGATCTGTCATTTACCAATTTCATGACTTTGAGCAATTGCATGCCCTCTCTGGGTCACAGTTTCCCTCATTTTTAAGATTAAATAGCATCTAAAGTCTTTCTCAATTCTAAAGTACTAAAACTTAAAAGTTAAACTAACTCCGGAGTTGATTTTTCAGATGTTGGATGGGCCATAGCCTGCAGTCTAAGCCAGGTAAACTCAAGTACAATTGGAACAGGACAGGCTTATAGATGCTCAGATGGCCTTGAAGGGCTGTACTTGAAATGGGCAAACATTCCTTCTCCGTAGGACCCCTGAATCTGAGATGGCCAAAATCAATAAAGGGCTACAAAGAGAAAAAATGTGAATTCCATCCCCCTGCTTTTAAATTAAGAACAGGAAACAGAAATCTTTATAAAGTAAGTAGAGTAGTCTTTAAAACGTTTTTCAGTTATATGTGGCCACAGGAAGAAATGCCAAAAAGAGACAAGAGCAGAGACAGGGAGAAGTGGGGAGCCAACTAGAGACACAGAAGGGAGAAGGGTAATACATAATAAAGACATGCGAAGGGAAAAACAAGAGAAGTATAACAGAGATGCGGAGAAAATAGACAAAAACACCAGGGATGAAAAATTTTATGGTTTTAACGTGAATATCAGAGTCTACCCTACTCTATTTATTTGAGCTGTAAGCTTTAGATTGCTACATCTATGTAAATAATAATTTATTATTCTTCGAAATTTTGATTAGCTGGTCAGCCACTATTCACAATTCTTCAGGTCTCTCGTCCTTATAAGAACCTTCTTTTACTTTGGGGATGTAGATATCACTTCAAGGACCTGATAAAACCAAGCTAAGGAACAGAGATTCACCACTCTTCATCAAGGACAGATCAATCTGGAGCGTCCTAAGGATGCAGGAACTGAAAATTTATGATTTCTGGCTTGGCCAGTCCTCTTAAGGTCCCCTGCAGTGATCCTAAATAGCCTGTGTACTGGGTGCCCCGAAGTAGAGGTGAACTCTTGTGGCCTGTTTCAGTCAATGTTGCTTCCAGAGGAGATAATGTGAACGAAATGCCACTACCTAAAAATACTGCTTCATTCATTCATGCAACAAATATGTAATGAGTAGCCACAATGTGCCAAACACTTTATGAAGATAAAAGACTCTAGGGTCATAGCCTATTGAGAGAGACTGAAAAGTACAGTTTAAATACAGTGGAGTAATTACAAGAAAAGAGGTCTATCCAGGATATTATGAAAGCACGGAGAAGGGGTATAGAACTAGTGGAAGATGTGAGGAAGAGCTGTCAGGAAATGCTTTCTAGAGAAGGTGATGCCTGAATTGACTCTTCTTGATAATTAGGAGAAAACTAGGTTGTATGGGGAAAAGGCAATAGGAATTAAACTATGGAGAGGTACCTGAAACCCCAGGAAATAAATTATTCAAGGATAGACTATCCACTCTGGGTTGATGAAAGAGAGAGATGTTACACTTGAGTCTATATTACTTCTATCTATATATGTATTTGGTTTGTCCAGCCTTTCCTTAGATCATATCTAGTAAGATTCATTTCGTATCAGTTATATTATTTTATACATTTTCCTTCTGAACTTTACCCTTTAAAAATGTAATCTCTCTAGGTTATGGTGCTCATATTTTCCAAGACCATCATCTTGTCCTCTGCAAATTTAATGAGCATACTTTCCATTCACATCCAGGTTGTTAATGAGGAAACTAAGTAGTGCCAGCCTCAGACCTGACTCATGCAGGACCCACTTTACTATATCCACACACCTCAATGTTGACTCTCTCATAACCATCCACTGGGTGTTGCCATGTTAAGTGTACAAGCACCTAGGTCTAATTTTTAGCTTATAAGTGAACATGTTCTCATGAAACAAAATCTAGAGTTTTATTTTCTTGCAGGCACTCAATCTAATTGCTTCTCCTTTATCTGATCCCTTGCTAAAAAGGAAAATTATTAAGTTAGTGTAATATAATGCTTTCTTCCAACATTGTGTATTTACTGTGATGTGGCTTTCACTTGAGTCTCTAATCCTTATTTCTCTTGTTAGAGAGGTGCTAAGTTTTTCTACATTTTTATCACTCGTCAAACCTCAAGCTGCTCAGCTCTGTTTTTCCAAGATTTCTGCTCTTGATCAATCCCAAGAAGAAAAGATTTACACTCTAAAGTGGATACTAGACAATGAGTTCACAACACAATGTGTAGTATTAGTTTTTAAGTATAAATATTTACCATGAGACTGTGATGACACACTGATGAAAGCTGTGCTAGAGAGGTAGAGAGATTACTCAGGAAATGAAAATAAGCGTTTCCTGGAGATACACAAAATTCCTGCAGAGCAGT